CGGCGGCGCGGGCTGGAAGCCCTCAGCGCGGTAGTCCCGGTGCGTGCTGGAGAGCGACTCCATGGGAGCAGGCGGCGGACAGGTCTCCTCCAGCACCTCCTTCCTGCAGGAGAGCTCTGGAGGCTCCAGCCGGGCAGGGCCCCGGCACCCTTCCCCCCCGCCACCACTCTCGCCTCACGAGCAAGGGTCTGAGGGCACGTGGACTTGCCTGTATTTCTGGTACAGCATGAACTCCAGCATGGCCTCCCGCTGCCCTGCGGGGGACGCGGGCACCGTCAGCCCCTGGGCTGCTTGCCCACGCTCGGCATCCCCGCACGGAGCGCTGCCTCACCGCGCCCCGGGAGCGCCGTCCTCCAGGGCTGGCGGTAGGAGTCCTTCATGGTGCTGCTGTCGGCCAGCCAGGAGGAGAGCTGGTGGGTGAGCAGCCCGCGGTGGCCGTGCCGGTAGAAGTAGCCCTCGCTGCCTAGCTCTGGCCTCGGCACGCAGTCCAGCTCGTTCGTGGCTCTCTGGGAACAGAGCATGTGGTGACCACAGCCTTTCCCCCCTGCCTCAAACACGATGGCCCCTGTGCTGTGGGCATTACCACTTATACCGACCCCCAAGCAGTGTCCATCAACACAGCTACCACAGCACAGGGCCGTGCCCATGCTGTGCAGCCACCGCCATGCTGTGGTAACAGCACTCTTGTTTTTGGGCCTCCGCGTACTGCCCCCACAGCCCTGGCACAGGGGTGCCCCATCAGGCTGGACCTAGCACAGCGCCAAAGCCTTCGTGCCTCTCAGTCCTTAGCAGAAATGTCTTAGAGCACCTTGCTGAGGGGCAGCCCCAGATACTGGGGCATGGTCTGCCAAAGGGAGACCATCCTTCCCATTGGCCCTGCTCACCAGCAAGGCTGGAAAGGAGACGCCAGCAGCCTGGGTAGGACCCTACTGAGGGCTGGACATCGTTGTGCAGCTACACAGACCCTAGGTAGGTGAAGGTGCCCACGTGCCTGGGAAGCAGCCCTGCACGGCTGCCCTGGCTGCCCCCAAAGTCCCGCTGTGG